GTTAATATTAGATTTTTTTTTTTCATGTCACAACTTTCATACTTCTAAAAACACTATGATTATCAAATTATTTTTAATTATATTGATCGATTTTCAAACATATATGTGACCATTATTTTTGTATTAATTGTTCTTTTGTTAATAAAGAAAAATAAATCATGAAAAAGACATCGACGGACACACTGCAAAAGCCTATAAGTCCAAAAATTAAAATTATTGAAACCAAGACAGATTTTTGGTTTAGTTTTCACTGCATGCTCAATAAAAAAGAGTAATGTTTTTAATCACTTATTTGATGTTTGATGTCCAAGATTGACCAGAAAATCGTTTAAAACAATTGTACTCAAAGGTTTTTGCAGTGTGACTGTCGATATTTTTCGCATCTTTTGAGTTTCGACAACATTCCCGGTGATAATATTAGATGGATAGTATAAAAATAAAACAACACACACTTGAAAATGTGAAAATATAATCCAAGACGTCATAAAGTTTTTTATAAAGGTTATAATCTAAAAATTTCCAATTACAGAAAAAAAAAATATTCAGCAGCTAATTAGTGTTTTTAAAAGTTTAAGTGTGTGGTTTATTTTCATTATAAATCTACATATGCTGTTCATATTCCAAAAAGAGATATATGAGATGATGCAATGGACATGTTTGGCATTAAATTTAGAATTTAGCAAATATACTAATCTACGCCTAACTTGAAATAAAAATATAGGTACGCGTTTTTTTTTTATTTTGACCGTCCGCTATCCATCTTTCACTGAAACAATAAATTACATTTTGTAAAAAAATGTATAAAAACGTGATAATTGTATCAGTTGGAGATACAAGTAAGTGTTAGGTTCCTACGTGTTATTACAAATCTATGTTTTAATCCTGTTTAATTTAAAATGATAATTTATTGTTACTGCTATTAAATAACTACTGTTACTACGACATATTCTCTCTGTTTTTGATATTTGTATTAACTCTTTCATTAATGTACTTTCATTGTTACAGTATGCGGTGACATCCACGGCCAGTTCTACGACCTGATGAAACTTTTCGAGGTTGGAGGTCCACCCGCTTCGACCAAGTACCTCTTCCTTGGAGACTACGTAGATCGAGGCTATTTCAGTATAGAGGTGAGTCCGAAATAATAAAGTAAATTTAAAATACTTACTTACTTAACCCATCCTCGTCTACCGCTAAGCAGTGCTGTATGTAGAGCTTGATCAACACTTCTCTTCCCTGTACCAATTGCTTTCTTCTCGACCAATCCAATCCTCTCCGGTCAAAAGTCTCCTTCTTTTCACTTTCCCAAGTCTTCCTAGTTCGCCCTCTAGGTCTTCTACCTCCCCTCGACGTCTCATAAGTGAGCCTTGCTAATCTGTCTTGTGGCATGCGAGAGTCGTGTCTTACCTTAGCTGGTGTTCTTCTATTTTTTTCTTTGCATCCTGCAGACTCAGGTTGGATCGGGCAGTGGTATTTCTCACTCGGTCTCTTCTTGTCTTGCCTTCGACCCTACGGAGGTAGCGCATCTCCATCGCTTGAGTAGGTCAGGATAAGGAGAAATGTATTTTTGAATGTTACTTTTGTTGTTTGGAGACCTCTTTTCTTCCCAAAAAGCCTTTTCTAATAGCATTAAAGCATCTTCCTCAATTCTCTCTTATATCTCCATCCATCCAGCCATTCTCTTACAAGTCGCTTACTTGAGCAATTCGAATTCCATCCAGTCTAATGACTCGGTCTCCCTGATTGGTCCTTCTTCCTACACCCTTGATTTTTGTCTTTATTAAATTTATCTCCATGTTTATTTCTCTTTATCGACATCTTAGAACACTGGGTTAAACTGGAGGTTCTTCCATTGTTTCCAAACACTACTAGGTCATGTACAAGTTTAAAATAGTCCTATGAAAATTGTTTATCATGATCAGTTATTCGTGTATTAACGTTTGTAATCCTTCTGTGTTATGCTGCAATCATTCATCAATCAAAGCATTAAGAAAAGGCATTTGTTCTTCAATTCTCACCTTCAAATCTAGACAGTTTACCGAGTCCGAAAAGGAAAATGTATAATGTTAATCTTGAGATGAGGTATGTACGTGATCAGTTTATAAACTCCTAGACAGTAAGTTGATGATTGAGTGAGCCTGTGGTTTAACGGATTGATATTTCTCGCAGATGGTGGAAGCCAGCGATTGACTGTTTAAATGAATCAATCCGCTCTAATAGAGTGGCCAATCAACAGTGTTTGCCGATACTGAGAACTATTTCTGGGTTACCATCTGTTGAGAACTGCCTTGCTCAGCGCTCGTGGGCCGCGGTCGTTACCTATTTCAGAGTTGCCAGCGTCGAGAATGCAAATGCGGCCAGCCTTCCTACCTGATGATGTATAATGACTCAGGTTGCTTTATTAGGCTGAGACTGTGGTGACTAACGTTCATAATGAAATGAAATTATATTTATCCTAAAAAAGGCTATGCAAGTTTTATGTTGATATCTCCCCTCCCCCTTGTATATATTGTTAATTTTAATTAGTTATCAGTTATAGAAAGACCAGTAAACTCTGACATCGGCTATCCTTAATGCATTCGGCATTTAATCGAAACATATTTTTTTGGAAATACAATATAATACAGTCGACTCTGTATTAAAAATGCTGTACTTTGATAACTTGATATACTGTTCGTAACAAGAGGGAAGAGAATCTCTTATATTTCGAACTGGACCACTTCTGTTCTTTATAATTCGAATTTTTCTTATCAATGTTATTCCTTATTTTTTACAACATATAACGTTTCGTAATGTTTACCTCCTTTCAGTCCAGCTAAACTTCCTAATTCTCTTTCGTTTGTCACGATGAGTGCTAGGCAGAAATACGCCTCACATACTGTGTTCGAATGCTTTGGATCAGAGACGCCAAGCCACATTGAAACAAAAGTATTTCTTAATTTTAGTAATAGATATGTTATTATCTATTGCAATGCTAATACTTTTTTTTTGTGGTTATCATTATATTTATTTTTACTTTCCTACCTATACTGGGTAAGGAAAGTATTGCAATCGGGTCAAATTTCCGATATGCGGTTTTCGACGGATCTATACGTTTCAGAGTCCCCTGACTCCGAAAAACACATTTTTAACCATTGGTTTGACTGTCTGTAATAAATAAATTTTTATTTGTGCAGAAATTTCTAAACTAGATCTTGAATAAAGGCTAAGTCATTATAATGATTATTGAATAGTTACTTCAGTAATGAAACTGTTCTATAACTATAATGAACGTATATGAATGTATATAAAAGGGGTGAATGGGAGAAAAAAGATAACTAAGTGAAAGTAAGAAAATCTGTTACCCACATCACAAAAGCTTCACTATTTCCTCTTTTTTAACAGAAATTATTGTACGACAAAATTAGGCTATGGAAAAAAGTTGTTGATCAGCAATATTAGAGGGTATTGAAATTTTTACACTGATCTACCTTAACATTGCTTTAGTTTATCGAATAAATCGTGCTCAAATCTTGTCTTTGATCAATTTTCAGAGAAATAAATCTAGTTCAATTTTTTTTTGTTTCTTCATGAACTTATGCAAAGATATAAAAACTTTTCTGAAATAGGTAGGAAAGTCGTGCGAGTGGACACACCAGATGTTTTTACTTAAGGCTATGTGTGTATAAAATTTATGTAAGCTTATACAAATTTTCAAAAATATAATAAAAATTTATTTAAGGAAGTTAGTCCACAGTTCTACATTCGTAGATGATGAATAATCAGAAATCATTTCTTGAACACCTTCAGTACTGCAGACATGCCCTGATGATGAGCCACATGCTTGGGTTGAAACGTCGGCAACAATAAAAAATCTTAAAATGGCTGCTTCTTGATTAATTTTATTAACCAGTTGACTATAAAAATTCGTAACAATTCGAAGTCTCGATAAATCGGATTTTTCTTGTAAGGGACTATTAGAAATATTTCGAATTATCAAGAGTCGACTGTATAAAGATATTCTATTGGCGGTTTAATTTTTTTTTTAATTTATTCATTCTCTAACAAGATACCATTTCATTGACTCCTACCTCAACCGCATGTTGCAACATCCACTTGCAGCCTTGAGACCTAGATGTTGAATCAGCTATCCTTTTGACACGTCTTAACATCCACCTCAAACATCCCTGTTCCTTTGTCTATCCCAGACCTTTCTGTTTTTTGTTTAGTTTGACTTAGTGCATTATGTAAACAGTTTAAGCTTTTGATTTTGAACTGAAGGCTTAGTGTTCTAAGTCTATACTGTTTGGTGTAGTCATTTTAAATTTAGGTAGACCCCATCTAGGTATTTTTCACACTTTTCTTTTATTAAATCCAGCTTATCGTGAAATAATTTGTAGTACGTTCCTTTTTAGGGTCGTCAAATTTATTGAGTCGTATTGCTGTATGTCGGGCAAATCTTTTTATCCTGTTGAGAAAAATGGGATTTACTAAAAAAATAAACAACAATAAAAATTGTGGATTGATGGTTGACTGTAGTGAATGATTGAAGAGAAGGATGGTTGGGATGATCAGTCAAAATAAAGTAGTAAAAATAGATAAATATATTTATTTTTATATTCATACAAAAGTTTTAACATGAGAGGAAAAAATATTCTTATCAAAGAACGTATGTTTTTTTTAGAAAGAACGTACTCCCCAAAAATATTTTTTTAGTGATATAGAAAAACAGCTTCAACGCTAATATTTGTTATATAATGTAATATGCAATATCAACACTTGAAAATTTCAAACATTACAGTCCATTTCAATATCTTTTCAATTCTTTAAATATTAACAAACATTTCTATATTTTTTTAATTCTTTAAATATTAACAAAAACGTTTTGGAATGTTTTATGTATTGAAAATTTCAATTCTATTAAAAAATAAAGTTTTCATTATTATTTTTAATAAAGTTAAATATCTAAAATTGGTCTAGTCTATATAATATATATAGATACCTGTAATTCCTTCCTTCATTTATTCCTTCCAACCTTTGATGTTCTGCATTATTTGATAGTAATCGTTATAATAGTTGATTGTAATCTGGAATTTCATTTTCAGTGTTACATTTCATTCTCTTCTTTATTATTTTATCTCTAGTTTAAATCAATATCTGATAAAATTCGTTCTATGTATTAATATTATAAATTAAATAATATTGATGATTTTACCAGTTTTTAGGTGTTAATTACACAATTTTAAATATTTTGTGTTTTTAATGCACGATTTTGATTTTTTTACTGCACAAAAATCCGTTCTCTAGTTATTACCTATATTTTATTCATAACTTTCTAACTTAGTTACCGTTACGTTATATATCCTAACTTTGTTACCGTCACGTTATATATTCCTAACTTTGTTACCGTTATTTTATATATCCTAACTTTGTTACTGTTATGTTATATATTCTAACTTTGTTACCGATACGTTATATATACTAACTTTTCTTCTGCTGCTTTCTACTCCTAACTTTGTTATCGTTATTTTATATTTCCTATAAGTTTATTCTACCTACTTTATTTTACTTTAAGTTTATTCTAGCTTCATTTTTTTTACTACACCTTTCACCTACATATAATTTTTTCTTTTTACTATTAATAGTTTCTCATACCTATTGTTATCTAGTTTTTCTTAGCCCTGACTTAACTTTGGGTCGAAACGCCGGCAAATATAAAAATAGATATACTTATTTATTTTTACTTTTTTTTTTTTGAATGATCATCCCCAGTTAATCCTCTCTTCAACAACAATAAAAAGTTTATTCAAATATGTATTTTTCGTTAAGACTCGGTGTTTCTTTTAGACGCAGTAGGAGATGGATTCATCGCAACAGGATATTGTTCGCTGCTGTCCATTTTATGCAATTGAAACTAGACACTGCAAAGTCATGCTTTACTGCCTCCTTTGTGTTTCGATAAAAGATAATGAAGGAGTCTTGGAAAATAACCGCGGAGTGAATGTGGGCACATTCTCTTTCTCACTTTTTCTCTTTTACTCTAATACAAGTTGTTTATCGATCTTCGAATATATTTATAGCTAAACCTGTGCTATTACAACTCATTGAGAGTCTTGGTTTCAGTACTTAGTAAGGATGTTTCAAAGTCAACAGTTGTGCAAGTCGATTTTGCCGAGATCTTAACCACCGGTTTTTCTCACTTAATTATTTTTTTTATTTAGAGTACCTACTTTATAGAGGCTGGGTTTGCCCTAGGAAGATTCCCCAGCCCCAAGATCGATTCATCACCCAAGATCCGGATTATAGGTGTGCATTACTCTTTGAGCTACTCCGTACCTTATTTTTATAGGTACTTAGGACTCCACCTTGACAAACGACTCACTTGGAACCCCCATACCAGATTGAAACGACTGGAAACCGCCCGACGTTTTCAACTACTGCAACACATACTAGACAACCGCTCTAAGCTTTCAATCAATTACAAACGATATATGACAATAATAAGACCTATTTGGACTATTGAGCTTTGGGGCTCCACTAAACCATCGAATTCCTCTCGTATCTAATCCTTACAATCCAAAATCCTTCGTAAAATCCTCAACGCTCCTTACTTTGTCACAAATAAAATCATCCATAAAGACCTTAATGTTCCATATGTTTCCGATTTGGCCCAATCCAGATGCCTATCCTTCCATAACAAACAGCAGAACCATCCGAATCCTCTCGTTTCAATCCTTGCTTCCTCCTCGATCCCTGATAACCCTCCGAGGCGTCTGAAAAGAAGATGGCCTCGGGACCTTCTAATATAGAACTTTAATTTGAGTTCTACCAATGGGTGGTTTCTCTTCATGTTGTACATGTCATGTTACCAATGTCACATTTACTTATTGTATTTTTCATGTGATACAGTTGTAAATTTCAATAAAATAAATTTTTTTTTAGATAATTTATAAATTTTAAATCATGTTTAAACTGTTCAATTCGATAATATATTTCCAGTAGCAATTTAAATATTATTCCATAGATTTAATGGAAATTTTTCAATCAGCCTAATAGCTTTTATTTTTTCCCTCTGTGAAGGTTCTTTATCCATAATAAATCATGCTTAACAAAGATCAAGGAGCGCAAACAGCGAGATATCTTTAATCTTGGCCGGTCGAAATGTCTTGGTTGTTCTCGCGGAGCTTTTTAAATATACAACTGCTTCGACTCTTAGCGCTTCCAGCCGCTCCAGCAATTTGCCTAAAGCGCCCTTTCCCGTGTTAATTTAGGGTAATGGAAAGGTCGAAGGGGGTTGCTTTAATTCCTCCTCGTGGGGAGGGGGAGTAATCATTTATGCTTAGTAATTAGCCTGTCTTTATTTATCTTTGATCTAGCTTGAAATTTACTACAGTTTTTTTTTTTTTTCTCCTGCCAGAAGTTTAATTTTAAGTAATTTTCTTAGCCATAAATTAAGATCTTATCCTCATTTGATTGAGGAAACTGCTCAAGTTTCTCGCTTTGCATGAAAATCTGGTCGTTAATTTTCGTGATGGAAAGGTAGACCTCGTTAATATGTGAATAACTGATAAATCAACCTTTATCCGTTAATCGCGAACACATTTTTTTATTCCTTATTTGTTGGATAATAGCTATTATATTCCAAAATAAATTTTGTTTATTTATTAACTAATAAATAATAATTTATTGCCTAAAAAGAGAGGCAAATTAATTATAATCGTTACTATAACTGTATCATAGATTTTTTAAAATTATGTATTATAAAAATCTTCTATACATTCAAATTTTGCGTATGTTATACTATGATGCCGATTCGATTTTACACGTTTCTCTGGCAATTAAAAATGTTTCCAGAATTTTATAGTTACGTCGTTGTTCCACCAGTTATGGAATGGACTTAATCCATAACAAATATTAATAATGATAATATTAATTTAATTTTTATTAATATATAACTTAATATTTAATATGCCAATCATAAAAGCACAAAGCCCTAGATAGCCAGGTGAAGCTATCTCTGATAGCTTAGAAATAGTTATCTAGAATGTACTGACTGGACAGAAGACACTTATCAAGACTTAATGAACAATAACCGTATCAACAAACGAGCACTTTCTCACAGACTTCACATCAATTCTAAAAGATAAGGATATCAATTCTTAATAGTTATAACTTCATTCACACGCTTCCTAGACCGTCCAGAATTGATTCACCTCCTACTATTCCTGAGTATATAACCCCTATGATCCTCAGACCAAATCACTCATGCAGTTGCATTCTTGAGTCATACTCTTTACTGCAGGAGACCTGGAGTGAGCTCGTGTAGTCAACCCATTATCCATAGTATATAACTCTGTATTTTAGATGCCATTTGTAACTTTATGAATAAAAGCATTATTTATAAAGTCTCCACTGCCTTCGATCCGTTAACTCACCGAATAAACGATATCGTCGGCAACATGTTAAAGTAATAATTGTGAATTTGCCCAATGTTTCGATTCTGATTAACGTTACTACAACATCTACATATCCAACAAAGCTATAAATTTGTAAAAATGACATTACTTTTTCCGGTCTACCAGTCGCCGTTTAGATTCGACATAAAGATACGTGGTGGGCATGGAACAATATGGCAATCAAACGAAATTCAAAATTTGATTTTTCACGTTCTTTACTTTAACATTGTGCCTACGATAAATATTTTTTTTATTTTTTTGTTTGTATATCAGACCTTGTAGATTTTGTAAAGCTATTTCTTTCCAATTACTTGCATGCACCTCTATGGCATCTTTGTTGATTCGATCTATCTACCAGCTTTTTGGATGTGTCTTTCCATGCTTACTATTGAGGCATTCGCTGTTATGTCGAGGCTTGCTCTGAGTTACATTCAGTTTATTAATAATATTCAAATATTCATAAGCATGATGAGTAAAGTATAATTAATTTACTCGTATTCATTACAAGTTGCATTGAGAAGACCAAAGTCTTCTCTCATTGGTTCCAAGCATCTTCCATTCCATTCCTTATTTCCCAAGTTATACGAAAATCTATTGCTGCCCTAAAGCAGTTCCTGAGATTCCGTATATACATGCCCCTAAAAACCCAGTCAGCTCCTTCTTGATTTGTTTACTCCTTGCTCCTCTGTCCATTCGTACAACACGAGATCCCATCCCACAAAAGCTGTTTATTCCCCCTCTCATAAAACTGCTTCCTTGTCCTATGCTATCTTGTTTTGGAATTCATACGCAAGTCCTCATTCAAATACTATTTATTTTTCCATTCCCTCAGCATTCAATCTTCCGTATATATGAAAGAATAATATTTTTCATAATAATAAGAATTTCATTTTTCGGTTGACCGTTGATATAATATGAGAAGGAGTTGATCGGGGGGTGCGGTCAAATTAATACTAAATTAAATAAATAGAATTATTTAATTTTTGCCGACGTTTCGACCCACTTTGCAGGTCTTCATCAGGGCTACAAAAGATACAAAACATGGTGAAAATAAATGAATATAAGTAGATATAAACTATGAAAAAGTTGTCTGATACAGAAGTAAAAGATGATATCAGACATATAGTGGGTGACAATGTAGTTAAAATGTCAAGTATTATATGTAGAAGATACAAACAAAAATGGAAAATAAGTATGAATAAAAATAGAAAATAAAGGGGAATATAGCATGTAAGTTTAAGGTAAACAGATTGCGATAAAAGATAAGGAATGAGTGCATAAAAAACTAATGAAGATTACATTTGATAAATGTAGGTTAACATAAGAAAATGAAGTTAACAAAAGAAAATGAATGTTATCGAATAAATAGATTGTAAATTGAATAAGTATTAATAAAGTAAATAAAGTACTTATTCAATTTACAATCTATTTCTTACAGTCAACTTTTTCTTATTTTATATCTACTTATATTCATTTATTTTCACCATGTTTCATATCTTTTGTAGCCCTGATGAAGACCTACAAAGTGGGTCGAAACGTCGGCAAAAATTAAATAATTCTACTTATTTAATTTAGTATTAATTTGACCGCACCCCCCGATCAACTCCTTCTCATAATAATATTTTTCTATTTTAGAGATGTCAGCCTCATTTTACTGTTGTCTAACATATACCTATATATATTATCTATATGTAAACAAATTCATTTTAATTTTAAGGCTCGATAACGATTAATTTAATTGGGTGCTAAATATTCAGGACGCACTCTTTTTTTTTTTAATTTTTTATTTTTGCCAACGTTTCAACCCAAACATGTGGGTCATCTTCAGGGCGTGGTTTAAGTACTGAGTATGTTTAAGTACTCCCCGGGGTATTTGAACACCCTCTTTTTAGTAAATATTAAAAAAAAAAATACTGCGTCCTGAATATTTATCACCCATGATATGTAGAACAGTCGGCTAACTTCTTTCGATTAATTTAATTAATTCTTGATTATCTTCTTATTTGTCATACGAATGACAAAAGTCACTGAATTGATTCTTAGGGGAATGATTGCCCCAGAATAAAATTTCTTTTTCTTTCTTAATTTTATTTTACACTAAGAATAAAATCTTAAATATTTTAATATTATACTTGTTCTATTTTATTTTAAACATAGTAATATGAATACGTTCTTAACACTCAGCTATAAATTAGTTTAATTCTTTTATTAATTGTTTTTATTTAACTAATTATTGCAAGGTTGATCGATCTCGACTTATTTTTGATAATTTGCTATTGGATACCAACAGCAATAAATATATTGAGTTGAGTTTTAATCATCCATTCGCACGCACATCTATATTTTTCTATTATTTAATTTATTAAATTAGGCTGATTAAATGCGATAGTGTCACGAACGCACGAGTATTCAAACATTCGTGTATGAGTACAGTAATATTATAAAACGGTTTGTGTATTGTGCATTTGCCTCTTGTGTCTCCGCAGAGATGGGAGAGTGCTTGTACTCTCAGCCTACATTACCTCAACAACTGTTCTGGCGCCTCCAACCCCCTCCGTCTCCCACCCTCTGGTTCGGGTCCCCTGTGGTTCGAATCCTCTGGAGTCCCCGGAGAAAATTTTATTACTAGCTATTCCTACTAGCATTCCTGATAAATTCATCATTTGTTATTTGATATATTATTTTCTTGCAAGGAAACGTTATAATAGTTCTAGGTATATATAACTGAAAAGCTTCTCTTCCAAACCTTTACTTTTATTCTTTCAGTCTAACCTTTCAGGCTAATCACCTATTATCATAGACAATCTGATAGATGATCTCATCGTCTTACAATATCAAAAGATATAACTACAAAGCCATGCGTCTCCAACATACAGGTAAATAGTTAACTAGCCAACGTTATGGGATCATAAGGGCTGAAAAACCAAGATCACATATATCCAGAAAAAAAACAAAAGAAGAAAAATTATATACAAATTGCTACAGACATCTCACGAAGCCATCATCCAAATACAAACTGAAGGAAAGAGAAGGCTCTATTAACACAGCTAAGGTTATATTGAACATTAGTGTTGCCCAAATGCGAGACCGAGACGAGCAAACTCATTCTTGGTCATGGTCTTGGTCTTGCGCAAGAATCTCGCAACAGTCTTGCAGTTACTTATTAGCTTATTGCTAAAGATATATTACTGTAATTTTTTAAATAAGAGAAATTTAACTAAGTCCCAATGAAAAATTATAGGAGTTAAATGCAAAAGTATATTGGTTATATCAATTATTAACATATAGTAACTAAGATTGTCAAGTATTAGTATCTGTTTTTGCTTAATTTTTATTTTAAAAAATCGATTTTTTTTTACCAGTCCTGGTCTTGGTCTTGCAACAATTAGGCGGCCTTGGTCTTGGTCTCGATAAGTGCAAAACCAAGACCGATTTTGGGCAACACTATTGAACAGCTGATTAGCAGAAACCCATTGAATTATACTTTTTTATTATATTTTTATAATTTTTTTTTCTACTAATCAGCTGTTCAACATAACCTTCCTTAGCTTTGTTAATAGATTCTTCTCTTCCATTCATTATGTATTTGGATACCTTTGCGATATGTCTAAAGCAACAATATTTTTTTTTTTTTTGCTTTTTCTTTCTTCATATAAGTGATCTTGGTTTTTCTGCCCTGATGACGCCTGAATTGGCGAAACGTTGGCTAGTCAACTATTTACCTGTATCTTGGAGACTCATGGCTTTGTTGTTTGGATTTTTCCATTTATAACAGAACTCGCCTTATGTCTCTTTTTTAGCTTTTTGCTTATTTTAGTAATTAATAAATAAGTTTCTAGGGTATCACCTACATACATAGAGATACCCTAGAGATTGTGACAATGGAAAACGTCCATCTCAAGAAGAAATGTGAATATAAACTTATTTATTAAACAAAGGAAAAATGTTTTAATATGCATTGTAATACGATGAAATAAATGAGATCAACTATCAGATGAAATTTTCTTTGATTAGGGCTGGGGAAAACTCTTATTTTTTAAAAAATAAACAAGAAGTTAAATATTATTATAAAATTGTAATGATCGATTTTAATATCCTTAATAAAAGTCATTCCATCATTAAAAGACAACCTAAACAACATGTAAAACTGGTATAAGCAATCGAAATCAAAGAATTACTCTGATGTGAATCCTGTCCCTTTGTTAATATTTTTTTACAATACAATATCAAAACTGAACTAAGTAAACTGCCTTATGTTTATTTTTGAGATAGACTTGTTGCCCTTACCTGAAGACGATAAATAAAACGCCAAAGTCTCGGATTGACAATATAAGTAGCTCTCTGGTTAAGCACACTTGAAAAAACTTCGACTTTAGCCTTTTTTGAAGTCATAACATAGATATGTTATAATCAATATATCGTCGGCACTATGCTTAACTAACGAATCTTAACTTCCCTAAAGTTGCTCATTTGTTAATTTTACATGGTGCCCACGATGTTATTAATACGAGATTTTATTTTCCTTCTCAGATGTTAATTCGCAGCTGTCATGAATTTCACAATAAGTAGATGGACAGTAGTTTAAAAAAATCGAGATGTTACTGGATAAATATGCGATAAAAAAAAAAAGAGAAACATTGATATGAATAATAATTGTTTTAATCGGACAACGTTGATGAATGTGATCAGAATTGTCTTTCCCGTACAAATAACCTGTAATCAACTAATTAAGACAAATATATATATATATATATATATATATATATATATATATATATATATATATATATATTTTAGAGTTCTAAACAATTTTCAATTGCGTTATTTTAACGGACTGATAGCAATGTTCTATAATAATTTCTAAAGGAAGGAGACGGTCCGGGGTGGCGGTCATAAATAGGCTAAATAGTGGTAAAACTATTTTAATTAAAAGCCAACGTTTCGACCCGACTTTGCAGGTCTTCTTCGGGGTAGAACAGACAAGATACAAAAAGATAGAGAATTGTGGAAGTTAAATAATATTTAGAAAAAAATATATATAAACAATGTGAATAAGCTTATTAAAATTATAAACAGTAAGTACATTAAAATATAAACAGAGCAAGCTAAGTTACAAGATCCTAAACTGAAGTAAAAAGATGGTAACAATTATTGCAGTGTAATATATAATATCTGCAAATGTGAGTATACTTCTACAGATCTACAAGAGAAATAGAAAGAAAAGAAAAAAGGATATAATATGTAATAACAGACATAAAGGAATGTGGAGAAAAAAAAATAAATTAATAAGTAAATAAAATTAGAAGAATAAAAATAGAGACTTACAGGTGTGTTCAGCTAGGATTTTCACTTAGAACTGGAAAATCAGGATAAGGGTAGGTATTGGGGAAATTTGCTGACCTGTTTGGGTAATGGGAAAAACCTGGAAAATTACAGTAAGTACATTAAAATATGAATAGAGTAAGTTAAATTAAATTAAGTAACAAGATCCTAAACTGAAGTAAATAGATGCTAACAATTGTAGTGTAATATATAATAATTGCAAATGTGAATATACTTCTACAGATCTCGTAATTTTTTGTCTAAATATTAGGTAACTTCCACAATTCTCTATCTTTTTGTATCTTGTCAGTTCTAGCCCTGAAGAAGACCTGCAAAGTCGGATCGAAACGTTGGCTTTTAATAAAAATAGTTTTACCACTATTTAGCCTATTTATGACCGCCACCCCTGACCATCTCCTTCCTTAATAATAAATCTAATCGGAACGAATCTAATATTACATATGAATTGAAGCTTTGATATGTTTTTGGATTTTTTTTTTTTTTTTTTTTGAAATTGGAAATCTCCTTCCTTTATAATGCAACGGCCAACTATTAAATATTCAATATAATAATTTATAATTAAATAATTTTTATCATTATTATTTGTTACAAACATACAAGTTCTGCTTTAACGCCCTTGTTGTTGTGCTCTGCCCTCTGGCACCCTAGGGTGTGGCCCCATTACCCAAGTGGCCAGCCCCACCCTCGGTCTAACCTACTTCTCATCTTCTCGGCTGCTTATTCTCAGTCTCGTTTTCTCCCCTTTCCCTTTAGTTATCGACCATTTCTTTATAGTCTACCATTTATTTATCATTTAGTCTATCGTTTATAGTCTCATATTTATATATTTATTTTATGAATACTCAGGTAATTTTATCATACAATTTTTAATAATCGTTCTAATAACCTCATATTTTTAATATGATTTTGTGGGTGCTAAAGTCAAATTATGTAATGCTCATTTGTAATTTTAAAATAGAGAATATTTATTATTAAAAATATTTCAAGGAATTCGTATAAATATAATTGCATTTAAGCCAATTTATGTTACCTTTTTTATTAAAAATTTAATTTTGGCGTTGTTTCATTAATCAGATGTTTACATTTGGATCATACGTCGCTCTAAAAAGAAACATGGTTGGTCGACGAAGGCATTCCAGACCCTGGAGGGAAGAGCGGTTGGAACCACGGAGCCATGAAACGACCGGTCATGAAGAAAAATGACCGCGGAAGACCGAGAATAAAACATCCCTGACAGGACTCGGGTCCCTACATGGAGCAAAAGCTAACTGGCCTCTATGTCAGTGCCAAGTAGGGGGCTACGTGTCACCGCTTCTTCTTCTCCAGGAGGGAAACTGAACCGCCTCCATATCAATATCTCTGAAAGCACAGTGTTCCCTCTCCATTCTTGCTGGACCTATAGCTACTCAAGAAGATATTTACTGAAAAGAAGTGGGAAAATGCGAACTGAATAACAATAGTCTGACTGTGATTAACTGCAATAGTTAGGCCTGAATAATCGACATCAATTATCCAATCGATTATCCAAAAGTTTACATTAAAATTTTAGATGAACTTTATTTGTGATATCCCTAATAAAGGGAAAACTTGTCTATAAGATTCAGATTATACTCTTCTGCATCAAAATCCTCCCTTTAACATAATTTTTTTTCTGTTTGGAGGCATGCTAAACATAAATACAAAGGCAGAAAATCTGTTTCAGACACCATGTTGACACCACTCGTACTTCCGACCTCTATCCTCCTCCTCACCGAACTCCTGCGTTTGACAAATCCTTTGCAATACAAGCCGCCTCCCTCTGAAATTCCATCCCTACTGATATTCGACACGCTCAATCAGTTTCCTCTTTGAAACCTCTCCTCTTTAATCATCTACTCCTCTCTCAATCCGACTGATTGTGATATATACTTAAGAGAAATATCTATGCACCCCCAGGGACTACCTGAAATTTATTTAGGTTATTTTAGTTTCTCATATATATGTACAATTCTCTTGTTCTTTTCTTTCTCTTCTTCAGTATTTTTATCTTTAGTCAGCTCTTATTGTAAATATATAATCTAATTGCAACCACACAGACATACAATCTGTATTTATAGTTTGTTCTAAAGGGACAACAGTCCCAGAATAATAAAATATTTCTTCATTTCATTTCATGTTATGTCAAAGTTGGGTTGACATTTTGACCATTGTTTTATTATTGAAAACTTCAATGAAAAAATCTGTTTGATTTCGAAGCGATTTCATCAGCCCGACAAAAAAAGTAATTTTGACTGAATATATAGCGAGCCTGGTCACTATGCCGCTCCGTGCTTTTCGAACCTATCGGGATTCCATCTTTTTACTACAAATACAGACGAAAGCCCGGGCCGTAAGGAATTCCAATTCTCGATATTTCTGTTTACAATCCCATAACTCCATTAATTCATCGGGTTTCGTTATTTCTTCGCTTATATATATATATATATATACATACCTTTTTTCTTTTCTTTTTTTTTTCCCCATTCAACATCCCTTTATTTCCATTATCTCTCTTAATACATACATAATACATTATTTATGAAACGAATATCTATTTGTTCATCAAACAAACCCGTTATTTTATCGGGTTTCGTTATTTCCTCGCTTTATACTATCACTACTAGAGAGAAACACTTTATTTTCATATAAAATATAAAAGCTTGCTGCCGAATCACATTGGGTTGCTGTACACACAGCATACTGGTTAATCTTTAGGACAATCACTAAAGCTTATACATCAATATATAGAAGAGGTTAATAAGTATGAGTATAATAAATATATATACATATTTTTTTTTCTCCATTTAATATCCCTTTCTTTCTCTTATCTCTCTTAATACATACATAATACATTATTTATGAAACGAATATCTATTTATTCATCAAATAAACCCGTTATTTTATCGGGTTTCGTTATACTATCACTACTAAATTGATTTAGTATTATTATACATTATCTACAAAACTAATATCTATTTATTCATCCAAGGCCTGATGTCAAAGGGGCTAAAATAGATTTAAAGTCTAATTGAAGTAATGAAAAACGTGAACGGAAGAGGCTGGATTTGGCTGACCAATGACTTCAGTTTTCACTGAATTGTTTTGAAACCTTTCTTTATTCCGACTTAAATGCTTTTCCATTTTAGAGGATAAAAATGCACGTCGATTGAGTAGAAAAACATTCATTTTGTTCACCGGGTACCATTTCAAATTTTACGTAATTTTGGTAGTTTCAGAATAATTCTGTGCACTTGCTCCACTGCAAATTTTTCGATTCCTTATAATTCTTTGGAAATCGTTCGAAATTCTTCATTGAGATATCTACATCGATAATTAACAAACGATAGCTGCAACCGTTTATTTCGAAGCAATTACAACACATGAAAAATCAAAAAAAAAAATCCAAGACCTCTAGTTTTAAACAGAGCGCTTACTTGTCCGCTCCTGCCTGACTTAAAAAAATAATTTTAATTGAATAGGTAAGTATATCAGAACTTATTTGGGATTGGTAGTATAAATCAGTACTCTCATTGATGCTTACTGTATACTGTACATACCCCATAATCGCTGCAGTCATTAGATCCTTTATTAGAGAAGTGACATTAATGTTATCGCGTGGATGGTACTGTTCGGTGGAATGTGATATTTTGGCCCTGTGCCTCGTGGCAATCCTATTGTCTCTTGGAATTCGACGCGTCGTCACATCATATGGACACCTTCCAATTTTGAAGGAACTTGAAATAGTTTATAACACCGCTTGCTTTTATATTTTATCAACGTTTTACAAAACTTCTAGATTCGTATCCTTTTACCTTTCGTATCCTTATACCTTCGCTGAATCTTTTAGTATCCTGTATTATAAGAAGGGTGAGGGTGGCCATAGTTCTTAAATAAGATAAAATAACAACAATTTTTGAAATTCTACATTGTTATGGGGAACTCTCCAATTGTGTGACAGCGCACAAGTTTATTCATGTATCATATCGCTACCGTTAGTGCAAAAGGTTGTATATAAAAATTGAGTTTTTTTT